TTCCCGGGAGACTACACTGATTACGAAGAGATCTTACCCGCCGGGTTTCTCGGCCGGACGGCGGGAACAGGGCTGGTGGCGGGATGGGTCCCGCAGCTGGACATACTGTCGCACAAAGCGGTGGGAGGGTTCGTATCTCACTGCGGATGGAACTCGGTAATGGAGAGCATATGGTGCGGAGTTCCTATAGCGACGTGGCCGGTGCATTCGGAGCAGCAGGTCAACGCTTTTCAGTTGGTCAGAGAGCTGGGAATTGCGGTGGAGATTAGCCTGGACTACTGCGAGAGGAGTGTGAGGGGGGCTGGAAACGGAATGGCTGTAACGGCGGAGCAGATAGAGAGAGGAATTAAGAGAGTGATGGAGGACTGTGGAGTGAGGAAGAAGATGGCAGAGATGAAGGCGGAGAGCCGCAAGGCTTGCGAAGATGGATCTCACATTTCCACGCTCATAGCGCGGTTAATTACTTAGGAACCTGTTTGGTGGCTCGCAAAAAACCACTTCAATAAATGAATTACTCCATTTTAATGAGTTGTTTTGTGAGCCACAAAAATAAGGTGGCGGTACAAATTGGGATGCAAACATTGTTTCGGTGTTTGGTTTGGGTGGGGTTGTGTTTTTCTCAAATATTACCAAGAATGCATAAAAAGAATTAGAGCCCGTTTGGTAACACTGAAATTGACTGTATTGGTTGATTCTGCTGAAATTTATGAAGTTCTGGCTGTGTTGACTAATTCTGCTGATTCATGAAAAAATTATATTTAAAATATTTGTTATTAATAAATAAAATAAAAAATTATATGAAAAATAGCTAAAAGTATTTTCTGCAGTAACTTCAGCCAATACATCCAGAAAAGTAACTCCAACCTTACTTTTTCTACTTATTACACAATCCAGCGCGCGAAATCAAAAGTTACGTGTTTGATGACAAAGCTGGCTGATAAGCCTGATAGGCTGAAAAAAGGGGTCACCAAACGGGCTCTTAATTTAATACTCCCTCCATTTTTTTTTGAAGATGAATATTGTTTTATCAGAATAGTGTCGAGCTTCCGACCTTAATGTTGGAATATCATTTTTTTATTGTCAACTATATAGCCTTCTTTCATGTCATAAGTTCCAGAATCATTACATCAATCAAAGGAAAAACAAAATTGATACCAACTAAAATCCAACAACTACGATTGTAAATCCTTTGATCAGACTTAGAGACAGTCACCCTTGAAAAAGCAACGTGAATCGCTAACCATGTATCGAGTTTGACACAACCATCCATGTTCCCATAGATCCTGTTGAGGTTTATTCATTCAACCCGCATGCCCAACACGTAAGTCCAAAGATTTCGAATGGAAGTGTATGTGAATATGAGATGCTAGCAAGTAAGACGGGCTAAGAAATATATGCAATAGTGGGCCGAGTATTATTAAGATCTAATAACTCATCGTTACACTGCACTTATGCTAAGGTCAACGGCCGTACGTCTCACACTCGAGTATAAGAGCTGCGAGTAATAAACTAAGAGCTATCTGAATACTAGAATGCTAAGGCGGGTAAGTTGTCAACCCCTTACAATGAAATAAATGTTACTATTTATACTACCAAGGGGCAGTTGAATATGCTGAAGTGGAGAGTTGTAGATGGCTGAAGCCTCAACCACAAAATCTCTAGCATTAAATGCGCTTCCCGCCAAGACATTTGTTTCCCGCCTATTCATGGAGACGAGCGTCCTCCCGAAGCGAGTTATCCGATTAGAGTGTTGGTGTTCTCCAATGGGTTGATTCCTCGGTTCAGTTGGACTTGGGGAGTATATTACATATGCGACCGATGAAAATTTTCCACCCTTTGTAGTTTGGGTTGCTATATTGGGCTTTGTGTAAAAAATGAAAAGTGGGTTGGAGTTTATGAGCCCGTTAGGTAGCACGAAAATCGGCTGTTTTGGCTTATTCTGCTGAAATTCATGAATTGCTGGCTGAAATGGCTACATTGGCTGATTCTGTTGATTTAAGAAAAAAATATTTTTAAAATATATTTTATTAGTAAAATAAAGAAAAAAATTATATGTAAAATAGCTAAAATGGTCATCCACAGTAACTTCAGCTAATACAGCCAGAAAAGTAACTTCAACCTTACTTTTTTTGCTTATTACACAATTTAGCGCGCGAAAGCAAAAGTTACGTGTTTGGTGAAAAAGTTGGCTGATAAGCCTGATTAGCCGAAAAACAATGTTGCCAAACGGTCTCTATATTTGTAAACAAGCACACAAGCCGTATATACAATACAGTCCAAGTGGATTATTTTTCTGAAGTTTATTTATTTGCTTGGCTTAATACTTTCTATAAGCATATTGTTTTAGATTACTCTATTCGTCCTCTAATAACTGTCCTCTTAGGTTTTTCACGATTATTACAAAGAAAATAGTAGGAATAATATATAGGGTATGGTATATGATAAATGAAAAAGTAAAAAAAGAGAATATTGAGAAGAGAAAAGTAGTGAAAAGTATGAAAGACAAAGTAGTTTGTGAAATGATAAGAGTCATAAAAGTGAGGGTATAATGATATTTTGATAGAAAAATTTACCAAAATGGGAAAGAGAATATGAGACAGTTATTATAAAAAGAGAGAGCAGTTTTTTTAAAAGATTATTTACATTATAATTGAAAAAACACAATAGATTTTATTTTGGTCCACTCAAATATAAATATATGAACAATGTACACTTTTGTGTTCAAATTTTTGTTATAAAAAATAAGTACATGTTTAATTCACATGTTACTAAGTTGTGCTGATTAAGACTTTCATTAATAAGCGACGTGTAAAATAAGCAGTGTTATAAGCTCATATTTACCTCACATGATTTAAAACATCATTTACCATTAAAATATCCAAAATAACTCTATACATATATAGACACAAACATTCATGTGCACAAGTATATATGTATATAATATGTGAGGATCTACCTCTACCCCTACCCCTACCATGCCCCTACCACGACCCTCAGGTAGGTTGGGGTAGGGTACGGGACACGAGTTGGGGGTAGGGGTAAGGGTAAGGGTACTAGGTAGGGGTAAGGGGGAAGGGGTTACGGGGGAAGGGATACAGGATAGGGGCAGGCGTTAGTAGGGTTGGGGTAGGGGGGCAGGAGTATAGGGGACGGGTAGGGAGTGGGGTATGGTTAGTTTAAAGGTAATGCGGGGGTAGGGGTATGGGGACAAGTAGGGGTAGTTATGGGTAGGGGTAGCGGTATGAGCACTAGCTCGGGGTAGGGGTAACCGTAGTAAGGGTGGGGTTAGGGGTACGCGTACGAGCAGGGGAAGGGCTAGGGGAAAGGGTACGAGTAGGGGCAATGTTTGGGTGGGGTCTGGGTAAGGTAGAGTATAGGGTAGTGGTGGGGTAGGTGGGTCTAGGTAATGTTAGGGGTAGGGGTAAGGAAGGAGTAATAGTAATGGTAGGGGGCAGGCAAATGGTAGGGTAAATTCAGAAACTGAAAAAACTTAAACTGTCACTTAATTAATACATAGGATGTGATATACTTAGTAAGACACTTGCACCTTTTGGGGTTAGTGAGCATTTTTTTAAGCTGTGTTTATTTCGCATGTCTTACTAACCTAATCGTGACTTTAGAAGTGAAGTAAACATACATGTCCTAAATTGTTAACATTATTTTCATTCTTAAGTTATTTATTCTAAATGAATGGATTAAATGTGTCAGAGAGATGTTACTAATTTTTGTTACAATCATGTATTGGAAGAATTCTTTTGAAAGGAATAAGTATGGGAGAAAAAGTATTAATATCAAGTTTCAAAGAACCGTTATGTCTAACACTTTCATATGCAATGAAAATAAACAAAAAACAAGAACAATATTTGCGTGATATTAATTGGTCAATTTCATATGTTATGAATAAAGATGTCTTTTTCTTCAAAAAAAAAAAATTGATTGGCCAATTATATGTTGGTTTAAAAGTTGTTACATGTGATAAAGATGTTAGAGAGATTAATATAACAAAAATGTATATCAAAATATCTTTCAATTGTTTTAAACATTTATCCATTTTATATGTCGTATGGATTTTTGTTTACATATTTATTTTCTCTATTTTATCATATTTCACATTTCATTGTGCTTTGTATCACATGGTGATATGTTAGAGTTAATTTCCTGTGCATCGCACGGGTACTATACTAGTTACCAAGAATGCATAAAAAGAATTAGAGCCCGTTTGATAACACTAAAATTGGCTGTATTGGCTGATTCTGTTGAAATTTATGAAGTTCTGTTTGAAGTGGCTGTATTGGCTGATTCTGCTGATTCATGAAAAAATTATATTTAAAATATTTGTTATTAATAAATAAAATAAACATTATATGAAAAATAGCTAAAATGATCCTCTACAGTAACTTCAGTCAATACAACCAAAAAAGTAACTCCAACCTTACTTTTTCTACTTATTACACATTCCAGCGCGCGAAATCAAAAGTTACATGTTTGATGACAAAGCTGGTTACTAAGCCTGATAGGCTGAAAAAAGGGGTCACCAAACGGGCTCTTAATTTAATACTCCCTCCATTTTTTTTTGAAGATGAATATTGTTTTATCAGAATAGTGTCGAGCTTCCGACCTTAATGTTGGAATATCATTTTTTTATTGTCAACTATATAGCCTTCTTTCATGTCATAAGTTCCAGAATCATTACATCAATCAAAGGAAAAACAAAATTGATACCAACTAAAATCCAACAACTACGATTGTAAATCCTTTGATCAGACTTAGAGACAATCACCCTTGAAAAAGCAACGCGAATCGCTAACCATGTATCGAGTTTGACACAACCATCCATGTTCCCATAGATCCTGTTGAGGTTTATTCATTCAACCCGCATGCCCAACACGTAAGCCCAAGGATTTCGAATGTAAGTGTGCGTGAATATGAGATGCTAGCAAGTAAGATGGGCTATGAAATATATGCAATAGTGGGCCGAGTATTATTAAGATCTAATAACTCCTCGTTACACTGCACTTATGCTAAGGCCAACGGCCGTACGTCTCACACTCGAGTATAAGAGCTGCGAGTAATAAACTAAGAGCTATCTGAATGCTAGAATGCTAAGGCCGGGTAAGTTGTCAACCCCTTACAATAATGAAATAAATGTTACTATTTATACTACCAAGGGACAGTTAAATATGTTGACGTGGAGAGCTGTAGATGGCTGAAGCCTCAACCACCAAGTCTCTAGTATTAAATGCGCTTCCCGCCAAGATATTAGTTTCCCGCCTATTCATGGAGACGAGCGTCCTCCCGAACTTGGGATTTGCCCTTGGTAATATCTGCAAAGGGTTGCGGGCCGTACATCTTCTGACCCTTGTGTAAATGTGCGTTAGTTAGCTTGGGGCTTTATCTCATGTGGCCCTAGACAAGGTGTGGCGACGTCCGTCGTGTCTGCCTTGTGCCTGGAGGCGTAACTGCTACGGGTTGTGGAGACATTCGTCTCTACCCACTGAGACAGGGCCGGCCCAGGACATGTCTTCCATGTGCAGCTGCACAGGGCCCAAAGTTTTGGAGGGCCCAAAAAGAACTAGTACTCTGTATTACTTCGTACTAATCTGCCAGCCCAGCTCCAAAATCTGAAGAAATAGAAAGAAGAACGCAGAGTCGCGGAGGAAGTCGGAAAGACGAAGCTCCGCTTGACCGAGCCTGCGAACCGCCAACCACAAGCACCAGCCCGCCACGGCGCTGCCGCACCACCGAACCCCGCCTCCACGACCGCTTGTTTGTTGACCGTCGACTGTTGTCTGCAATCTGCACTACTCCCAATACTCCGCAATCCGCCAGTAGAGCAATAGCCCGGTAAGCAACTAAACTAAGCACAATACTCAATACTCAATAGATTTTCGTATACCTTCGATTGAATTTGCAAATTATTGAAAATTTTGAAATTAGTTTGTTTCATTGTTGTTATTCACTTATTTGTATATTTAATTTATTTCAGTTGTTTAATTGATAATATTTATTTTAGTTTGTTGGAAATACACTCAAATTAGTTTGTTGAATTGTTATTTCAATTCAATGTTGTAATGGGTTTGATAATAATTGTGTCTAACAACTACTCCATCCGTATCACATATATCTTTCCACTTCCAAAGTGGGTGCGATTAAGAACAGTGAAATGGGTATGAATTATTGAGGGTATGTTGGGAAGATGGTGAAATAATGTGATGGAATGAAGGATAAATCCAAAAAAAGTAGGTTTAGTAATGTATTATTTTTTAAATTATTGAGGGTATGATGAGAAGATTTAGAAATGAGAAGATATAAATGTTACCCAAAAAAGGAAAGTGGGAAGATATGAATGTTAGGAGGAAGTAAAATTTAAGAAATAGGTGTACCGTACAAGTATGTTATTAGGTACCTTTAGCCCTTTAGGCCTATAGATTATAATTATATTAGTATAATTTTTCATGATTCAACCAAAATTTTAACTTGAATTTAACTGAATAAAACTTGTTTTATTGTTTTTGTTTTTATTATTATTTTTTAAAACTTGTATTTAAACACAATTTATTTGTGTTAGAACTTGGAAAAAAGGCCCAAATATTATTGTTGCACAGGGCCTTCATTGGCTTAGGACCGGCCCTGCACTGAGACCCATTGTCTTGAGTTACATTTTTACAAACATGTAGTGTGCTTCAAAGTGTGACTTTGACTGGTAAAAATGTCTGAATGAATTATTTAGACGGGTAGAAAAATTGTTGAAGCATACTAGGTGCTTGTAAAAATGTTAAAATGAATTTGTTGTGACCCAAGACAGTAGGATTCAATAACGGCGATACCAATTAATATTATAGAGTTCAATACTTCAGTCGGGCAAAACATTACACCACTAAACTACGCAACATTATTGATGGTTGAAAAAAATATGTGCAGCCTTTCACATGTTGAGATTGTCCTTATCAAGTGTAATGGTAGAAGTTTGGCCACTGTTTGGGTATGGATTCAGGTGAAAAAAACAAAAAGCCCTTGCGGTTTTCTACTTAGAGGGCTAAAATTAGTTATTACTACTTAGATGGCTAAAAATAATTCTTACTAATTGATCCATTTGGAGCTTGACACCTTGGGATTGAGCCCTAGCGACCACATAAATGGATTTGGATTGTTATTGACTCTCTTCTCTTTCATTTTCAATGAAAAGCCTTGGTAAGACAGATTTTGCTTTAATAAATATGTCTATGAACAAAGTTTTTGTTGCACACATATTGTATGTTCCTAACTTCTTACAGTCGTAAGCACATTCTCGCAGCGATTCATGGAAAGAGGAAGTTCGGTTGTTCTATACTATATATAAGCCTACTAAAGACATTTCAAGATTTGGGTAAAATTTGGTTGAATTGACTGTAAAGTTATGATTAACGTAAATATTAAGGGTAGATGTAGACTTAACGGGAAGTGCCCCAACTAGACTACGTTACACTCTTTTCATTTATCCAAGTTTTATTTTTTCCCACCGGGTTTTGTTACTTGGTAAGATTTTAACGATACATATAAACTTTAATGATCAAAGCGAGGATCAAATAAAGATAGACTTAATGAAAGAAGTTTATTGTGAGATTGTACTCTTTTTCCGAGTCAAAGTTATTTTTTCTCACATGATTTTTGTTACTTGACAGAATTTTGAAGAGGCAACAAGACACATACATAATTCTATCTACAACTCAGCACAATGAGGAGCGTTGAAAGAAATTCTATGTAGTGTGCTATCGTTTAGGGCTGCACATCGGGCGGGTTGGGTAGGGTTTGCTATATTTTTTAGGCCTACCCGATTTCTTCGGGTTGGTTATTAACCAACCCGCGATACGCAAAATAAGTTGGTAAACCATGCATGAACGGGTCGGGTAGGGTCGGGTATTGGGAAAAAAAATTCCTTAGGGTTGCATCTTTTATAAGCAAAAACATTAGGTAATAGTATTAAAACATCCTTCCGTAAAGGAAGTTCATTTAGAAGGAAACGTAAATATATAATAATCACTTAGTCAAAATGATAAATGTTTAATTATAATTCTAATATCATAAAGCCATAGATAGAGCAATTGGTCTTAAATTGAAATCATCCAAGAAAATGTTGTAGCATAATAATAGTAAAATGAACTTCGGCCGGGTCGGGTACTATCGGATTTGAGATTTTAATTCTACAACCCTACCCATTAGGTGCGGGTTCAAACATATTTAACCCATGAATATTTTTAAAAATCAAATACCCGATTAAATAGGGTTGGGTAGGGTTGGGTCGGGCGGGTTATGCGGGTTCGGGTTATTCTTGTGCCGCCCTACTATCGTTGACATAGAATATGTAATTAGGTCCTATGTAATTAAACTATGTATTATGGGTCATTAGTCCATCCTTGTAAACCCTACTTTCTACCTATTTAAAGGATTTAAAGGGTATACGATAATGAAGCTAGACGCAACGTTTCTCCCTACAACACATCAACCATTCTTGGTATACACAAAATTTATACACATTTGGCACACTACTCTCCTATCTACACGGACAATTGCTGCCTTTTTATTACCGAGTTACTTGTCTCCACAGGTAACTAGGAGTGTACATATTTTGTGTATATTTATACTCGCCAATGTATATAGAAAATTGTTGTTTTTTCTAAACGGAATCTGGTTTAATCTGTTCTGGTCTGATCTTGTCTAGTTTGATTTGGTTTGAACTAGTCTGGTCTAGTAAACGTTTGGTCTTTGTGTATTTTATAACTGTCCAAATCTGCTCTGATCTGTTCTGGTTTAATCTGGTTTGGGACTGAAAAATAGTCCAAGTAAAAACATCCTTGCTCACGACCAGCCTTAGGGGGAGGGCAACTTGGGCGATCGCCCAAGGTCCAAAAAAATAGAAATAAAATTAGGTCCAAAATTTTTTCTCTATATGTTATGTCAATAGTTTTTTTTATATATAAACTCAATTAACTAATTAAGCCTAATGTTTAACTTTTGTTGACAATTTGAAAATTTTAAAACATAAGTAAGAAGTCTTGATCGGAGCCGCTTAGACATGTTTAAAAAAGAATAAACATTTGATTTTGATTTTTGAGTAAAGTTGGTTGCATGTCTCTTCACATCTTTTTAACCTTTAAGACTTTTTATTCCTTAGGTAACTCTATTCAGTATTCACAGCCACAATTTTACTATTCAAAGTCACCTAATTAAATTTAAATAAATAAAACTATTTTAAATGTCTATTTTACCCTTATACAAATCCTCCGTATATTACACGCCATCAACTACTCACGAGTCACGAGAATACTCCCAAAGCCAACAAAATCACATCTTGGCCGGTTCAAAATCTACATTTGATAGTGTCTGCAAGTCTCCACTCTCCACTCTCCTTTGCAAATCTAATATTTTTTATTCCTTTTAGTTACAAAATCACCGATATTATAATGTCGTCTTTAGCCCCAATATAATTCCCAAACATCATCAGAGTTATCTTATCTGTGATTAACTTTGTCTAAAAACTTAATAGATCAATTTTAAGCATTGAGCATGGGGTCTTGAAAGCAATTATTGATGATTTTGCTTCACAATATTCTGCGAGATATATTTTTAAATAATATTTTTTGTGATACTTGTGTTGTTACTTTTGTCCAAATATGTCATTTAAATTTAAATAATACGGAGTAATAATTATAGAGACAAGACCGACCCCTTCCTTACTCCTATTCCAGATTTTTTTGCTAATGTTAATTAAAATAAAAGCTATACACAAAAAATATAAGGTACATTGAGAACACCTTTAAAAAGTACCGTCTAGTTAAAGTACTTTAATGGTGGAAAGCTAAAATGAAATCTCTCTTAACTATGGAGTAACTTTTATTTTGTGTTACACAAAAAATACTCTATATTGAGGCCGTTTGGAACCACTGGTTCTCGGCTTATCAGCCATTTTTTCACCAAACACGTAATTTTTGCTTTTGTGCGCTGAATTGTGTAATAAGCAGAAAAAGTAAGGTTAAAGTTACTTTTATGGCTGTTTTGGCTGGAGTTACTGTAGATGATCATTTTAACTATTTTTACATATAATTTTTTTTCTTTATTTTATTAATAAAATATTTTTTAAAATATTTTTTCTTAAATTAGCAGAATCAGCCAATGCAGCCACTTCAGCCAAAACTTCATAAACTTCACCAGAATCGGCCAAATCAGCCGATTTTCGTGCTACCAAACGGGCTCATTGTCTACTCAGTATCAAAGATTCTAATTTTTATTTTAATAAAATTGTTTTTCTTTTTCAAGCATCATCAACATTGACGGAGTATTATATTACGGAGTACTATTCAATATGATTTCTAATCAAAATTAAGTTGAAGCACACTACATAGGACCTACCCAATTAGGTCCATTCTGCCATTCAAACACTCGTTTCAACTACCAAATATATCCATAAATAATCGATGCACGTAGCTACCAAAATATAAATGCGCACAGAATATGCAGTTTTCTATCCATTGGCGAAATTGAACTCAAGATAGATCAGATCAGATCGAGCTGAGTAGCTTACCTATAGATCGGCTGGCTTGCACGAGTCCCTCAGATCGATCCCATGACTACTACTAAATCACTTGGTTTTCTCACTCTCCTCCTCCTCTTGGGTATGTCTCATATGAGTATTTTCAAAAATATAATTAAAATAAACTTGTTTACACAAACATGACTAAGTATATTGTTACTATTATACAGTGTTATATCACTTAAGTTCAAAAGTTAAACATAAATTACTATGATTATTTTTCTTGGTTTTATTTGTTGCAATTTCTATTTAATAAGAATTTCTCCTAAGTGCTGATATTATTATTACATGTAGGCATTGTGGTAAGTGGAGTTGAGGTAAAGCTTGCGGAAAGGCCATGCCCGAGAAGTTGTGATTTGAGAGCAGTGTACATGATCTGCCCGCCTTCTGAGTCAAAGGTGTTGGCACTTTGTGACAACTGTTGCACGGCCGAAAGTCGTGGCTGCATCCTATACGATGAGTACGGACGTCCCCTTTGCAACGATGGCTCATCCTATCTAGCCTCATAAGATTTTGATCGACTATATGTCCTGTCGAGTCGGGGGCATGGATTCAACCTTTTGATGTTTAAGTAATTTTCAACGTTTATAATAATATAACTCCGTACTACGTAATAAAATGCAAACACACGACGTTTGCAGTACGCACTCCATGTTTGAATAATAATAATAATAATGAGATGAACACTAATTAAATAGCAGGAGGCTTAAATTAGTTTGTGTTTTATTATAAGTTTGTAACTTTGTAAGATATATTACGTATATGTTTAATTTCACCAAGAAATATTATATCCTTATGGATGAAATTAACTGATCACTTATCAATTATAAAATAAATTATTAGAACGTAACTAATTAATACTACTGAAAAAGCCCTTCTATGAAGACGCATATTTCTTATGAGTGTTCCCTTGCTTATTCCCTTCCATAGGTTGAAGTTTCAGACAGAAAAAAAGATACAAAGGCAGTTTTGCCCACTGGCACACTAGATCATGACTCATGAGATCAAACTTATAAGAATAATGACAAGATTTAGTAGGACTTTAATTACGTATCTGTCTAATATGGATATTTGATGATGGCATGAAGTTGACCATTATTTAAGTATTTAACATCCAACGGGTTACTACGTTGCCAAAATTCATCTGACATGGAAGTTGTGTAAATAAACGATGCTTGGTGTACGTACAATTTGTACACATATGATGTACACTCCCTAGCAATTGCCTATTTACAAAACAGCTTTTGAACAGACAACTAGGAGATGTAGGAATGGCGGTCATCCCGGGCCTAAAAAAAGTAGAGAACCATTTTTTTTGCTAGTCCATTAGTTAAATGAGTTTGTTTTCAAATTGAAAATTTTGGACAGTTGAAATATGAAAGTCCGAACTGATTTTAAAGAGCCAATGTGTTCATTTCCCCTCCTAAATAAAAGATAAAACTTCCAAAAGAATACCTAAAGGCTTTCTTTTAGCTTTCCAATTGGGCCTCGAAAAAGAGAAATGGCCTAAGAAGACTAGGGCCTATCACCAAGGCAGGATGAAGTTGGGCCAAAAAACAAACCATCCAAAGCTAGGTGGTGACTAGATCAATGGGGGAGACTGATGTGTTATT